TAGACAGCGTTTTGTGTAAGTGAAGCTGGTATCAGATGTGCTTTCAAGATACCTACATCATAAATATACAGTAGGCCCATATATATATACATATATACTTACATATACACAGTGCTGGTCAGAATTATTTGTCCCCTTGGTAAATATGATCAAAAATGGCTGTAAATGGCTTTATCCCTTTGATATTTTATTCAAAAATCAAACCTTTTATTGAAGTAAAAGAATTGAAAGTGGGGGGTAAATCACATTATGAAATAAATGTTTTTCTCCAAAACACATTGGGAAGAATTATTTGCCCCCTTTTATTAAATACTTTTTGCATCCTCCTTTTGCCAAGAGAACAGCTCTGAGTCTTCTCCTATAATGCCTGATGAGTTTGGAGAACACCTGACAAGAGATCAGAGACCATTCCTCCATACAGAATCTCTCCAGATCCTTCAGATTCCCAGATCCATGTTGGCACTTCTTCTCTTCAGTTCAGCCCAGTTCAGTTCAGGTCAGGGACTGGTATGGCCATTGCAGATGCTTGGTTTTGTGCTCAGTGACCCATTTTTGTTTTGATTTTGATGTTTGTTTATGGATCACTGTCCTGTTGGAAGATCCAAACAGGCCCGTTATAAGATTTCTAGCAGAGGTTGTCAGGTTTTGATTTTTTATCTGTTGGTATTTGATCGAATCCATGATGCCATGTAAGATGTCCAGGACCTCTGGCAGAAAATTAGGCCCACAGCATTAAAGATACAGCAGAGTATTTCATTTTACACATGGGGTACTTTTTGGACATGAAACAACAAAAAAAGAGCTTTTTGGCAGCAAACACTTTATATGGGTTTACATGTAATCAGTTCTATATAGGTGGCTTTTATTTAATTCTACGGTGTTGGACAGTGTGGGGCCTTTAGTAAAAAAAGATTGCAAACCACTGCAATAGAGCATACTAAGCTTTCATTCTCTGATTGGAAATGAAAATAGATGTGGAACTATATATTCTGGCTTACTTTGGAGTTTGGATTCAGGGCTAGGAAAAGCAACGCCTCACACACATTCATACACACAAACGCAAACATATTATGCACAGCTGTGACCCATATAGCTGACAGGTGATGATGCTCGGGTAGGCAGGTGGTCATCCTGGTGGGTGGGGAAAACTGTCCTGACAGACAGACAGACACACGGACACATGCAGATGGCGCAAGAACTCTGCCTTCATTCTGTCTCCTTAAGAAGAATCTTAAGTTCATCTGCAGGTCTTAATCAGGACACACAGATCTGGAGCTTCCGTGTGATTGCTCAGATATTTGAATGTGTTATGACAGAAACAGGCTACACGAGGACAGAACAGGAGATTGTGTGTGTTTACTATCCTCAACACACTGACACCTGCTGGACAAAGTGTGGAAATTATTCCTTATACAGGAAGAAAACATTTGTTTTATTTTTTAAGGCGTAGGCTAAATATTATAAAATATCTCCTTTTACAGCCAGTCTTTGAATTTTGTTTTGTAGCATTTTTGTTATTTTCTCTTAAGGATAAATAGCTTATATTGTGGTGTTAAAAACACTTTTAAATAAATGTAAATATTGTAGCATTTTTGTATTATTAATATTATTTAGCATTTTGTCCCTAATACAGACTTGTACATGGGTGTCAATTCAACTTCGTCACATCGAAATGTTTTAGAAACAGTGTCCATGCGTTTATCATTTATTTTTGCTACATTTGAAATGCTCAAAATCTGTTTATGTAAAGATTTTGTCCAGGCATATTCTCAATCTTAAAATACAAAATCCATCGTAAAAATACAAATGTTTGCACATTGTATAGTAAAAATTGTTTTATTTCTTAAGAAAATACTACTGTCCCTCATTGTCATTTCCCTCTACCACAAGTTTTTCAAAAGTTCTAAAATGTCAGTGAATTTTATATTAAAAATGTCATTTCCACCACATTAAACAACATTAAAAATTCAATTAATTAGAAAAGTATAGCAAAACTCTCCCCAACAAGCCACATGATTTGAGATGTTATTTAAATATTTAGGGTTGTAAACAGAGGAAGAAATGTTCAGTGATTTGGTTGCAGATAGCTGAGATAATACAGCAGTCACACAGTGCTTTCAGCGGGCTATCAAAACAGCAGTCCCACGGGACAGGGACTAATCACTTCTGCCTTGGACTTAGAGAGACAGTGTTCAAAGCAGAACGTGAGGTGTGTCGTGTGTGTGTGTGAGAGAGAGGAGGGTGGCAGGGGCCTTGTTAATGCTAAGCGTCTGATGTGGGTTGCGATTGATCTCACTGCAGGTGTCAAAGGCCTGATTTGCTTCACACAAACAGGGAATTCTCCATGAGCCACAGTCTCCCCGGGTTCACTCTCCATGATGTCACAGGGCCAGCAGCACTCTAATTGGACAGCACTTACAAGCTCCAACCGTCAAAATATGTATTCCAAAAAACCCTGCAAGTGGTCATATATTTAACCTAACCTATTAATTGCATTAAACCTAGTCCTCATCATCCATGAATGACATATTTTGATTTGATAGGACATATTATTATTTTTCAGGACAGATTTTAGTGACATCTGTTAGGCATTAGGGATATTTAATAAGAGGTATTCCAAGAAAATGTAATAATAATGTAAGCCTCTTATTTGATCTTAAGTCTTATTTAGTGAACTTCAGTGTAATATAGGTCATTTTCATACACCGCATACTCAGGCTCAATAATACTGCTGTCTCACTGGAAAAGGCAGATATTGAGTTATTACACAGGAAGTTCAAGTCTTTTAATGAACAAAAACGACAGAAGAGAGGCTGAAAAATATGATTAAAGGAAGCAGTTTCCACTTCACTTGATGAGTGCAGCAGATTTCTGTCCTGCGTTGGAAGTATTTAATATCTTTTACTGTCTATGCTCAAACCCAGTTGCACGCCGTTTCCAGGAAACTGGTGCTGTGTCTCAATTCTTTTGAGTGTGTAGCAAAAGTGTACACAAGCTTTGGGACATACTATCACGTCATACAATTGCGTCTTTAACGGTTGCTCTCTGTCGCATCCTGTCACAGTAAACTGGCCTGTTGGTCATCTTCTCATAGTTAAAGGGTTAGTTCACCCCAAAATGAAAATTCTGTCAGTAATTACTCACCCTCATGTTGTTCCAACCCCGCAAGACTTTCGTTCATCTTCGGAACACAAATTAAGATATTTTTGATTAAATCTGAGAGCTGGATCACTCCTCCATAAGCTTCTCAAGGGATCGAAACTGGCCGGCCCATGCATCACACACATGACCAGCGTCGGCCAATAGTGAGCCTGCGTGTGACGTACAACACAGAACCGTTGCGCAATATCACTACGTGAAATCTCGAGGCCAACAGAGAAGGAAATGAATACCGGTAGTTGAATAAAATCGTTATTTTTGTTTGTTTTTTGCGCACAAAAAGTATTCTCGTCGCTTGATAAACTTAAGATTGAGCTTAGGTTAATTTGTGTTCTGAAGATGAACGACAGTCTTACGGGGTTGGAAAAACATGGCGGGAGTAACTATGTGATTCTGAATATTCAGCTTTGCCATCACATGAATAATTTAAATTGTAATGTTTCACAATATTACTGTTTTTGATCAAATAAATGCAGCCTTGATGAGCATAAAAGACTTCTTAAAAAAAAAACAGCATTACAGATCCCACATCGTAGTGTACATTATTTTATTAATTTTTGTTTGCTTAGGCTATGTCTATTAATTTAAAATGTTATACTTTGGTTTGACATTTAATAATACTTCAAAATATAGTCATAATTTATTGGATGTGAGCCTTTATTGCTTTTTAATAAACAGTCTGTTAACAAACAATGTCTCGTCCACTCACTCTCTCTCGTGGTGGACTTGATTAGAAGAGATATCTGCTCAGGCATATAATCTTGAGGAGTGTTTGTTGGCATGTCTTTAATTCTCAACCTGACACACATTGATGCAATGTGCATACCAGTCTTTCTCTGTCGATTTTTTGGGGTTTAACTCATACCAAGGCCATCTACATGTTTGTGTACTCCAAAAAATTGACAAAACTAAATTTTTACACACATATAGGCCTACTCTGAACTAGAACGGCATCAATAAACACACCTTTAAAGCAACCATCACATCACTTCCTCGTAAGCCTGACTTATTCAATTACATAACAGAGCGTAGTTTTTTTTTTGTTGCGAGTCTGATGCTCTGAGCATGGCATGTGCTTTGAGCTGAGATTAAGATCAGAGATCACGACACAAGATATACCTCATTGGAAACAAATGTATAAAAATTAGGCCAGATTTCAATGTTCACTTTCAATTCAACATTTGGCCATCTAATTGTAACCCGAATCCAGTAAAGAAACTGAATTGAATTTGTACGGGCAGGACTCAAGTCAATCAATGAATTTATATAGTTATTTATTTGCAGTCAGGAGGCATAGATGCAACAAGATAGACATTGAGGAGTATATGGCCAACATAAACAAATATGGGTTAGAGACAAAAACAAAATTCTTTTGTACAGGAAACAAAAGGCATTCCTGTAGCTAAAACAGTAGAGCGTTGGTGCTCGCAACGCCAAGGTCATGGGTTCGATAAGAACTGATAAGAATGTAAATGTGTACCTTGAAATGCAATGTAAGTCGCTTTGGATAAAAGTGTCTGCCAAATGTAAATGTAAAATAAAGATAAGAAAAAAAAAAAACTAAAAGGCTGATCCCTCCGTTCTAAAGAGAACCTCACTAGGATAACACCTCCAATAAATAAACACATTCACACACACACACACCTCTATATAAAAGAGCTCTGTAATATTGGATAGAGATAAAGATATATTTCAGAAAGTCTTTGAAAGGACTAAGATGAGCTTGTAATGGACTTCAGAGAGCACTGACAAGAAAATAATCGTTCAAGAGTCATTCTTCAGCTCATCCAAACATCATATGCAGTTCACTTAAAGATTCAACAAAGCACACTAGCTTGACATCATTTTTAAAATGTGATTTTTAATTCTGTACATGTAATAAATGTGATGACAAGGTATTCAGTGTTGATTGCTTTTAAGGTCACAATTCCACATGTGCTTGACGTCGCTCCCTTGGAAAAGCGGTTAGAAATGGTCAGTTTCTAATGAGTCCCACACTCCACTCTCAGCACAGGCTTCCATTGCACAAAGATTAATATCCTAGAGCAGAGAGACTCCACCTGCACAAAACCATAAGCCTTCACACAGATTTAGAACATAATATTAAATCATAACTGATACATGATGATCAAGCACATGTAATATACAGGTTACTAACAGACCATACAGTAAAGAAAAAAAGAGAATTTAAAAGGGAACTCAATGAATGCCAGAATGCTTCTGTAATGTATGCCCAATTACTGAACCATCTGAAGGGAATTGACAACTCCCATCCTCCAGAGAGGCTCATCTGAAATTCAACTCCCTGTCCGGGCATCCGTAGGGATCCATATTCCTCATCAGGACGCAGAAACGACACTAACGTATACGTTTTAGGCGTATCTGCATCTTGCGGTGGATGAGGGTGATGGCAAGACAGATAATATGCAGATAATATTCGTCGGGCTCTTGAACAGCTTTCCCTCTCTCTTTCAAAGATAAGTTAATGCATAGACTTTTATTTCAAATATTTTCTGAGTAAAAGACATTTTGAACGATTGACAGCACACTTCACACTCCCACAGAGTCTATTAGGTTTTTCACACACATTAAAAAGGTGAAAATTACAGAAATTAGACAAGATAAACAAAATAACGGATGAAAAAGGAGAGACACGATCAGTAAGGCCAAGGCTGAGAGCGATAAATCAAAGGGAAACAGAACTTAAGCAGAAAAAAAAATACAAATAGTTGGGTAGACATGAATCTAACTTGTCCTAAAACATCTTTGATTCATATTGGAATCAGATGAAGGATTTCATTTCACTGTATTCCGAGTAGGTCTAGATTAATTTCTAATTCGGTTATTTTTCTGTCCCTCTGTACCTAGAGGCCATCAATCAGTGCTAGTGTTTCTCACAGTCAAAACACCCAGTACAATCAGCATCGAAGTTCATAGTCAAGCACACTCTAAAACCAGGTAGCTGTTCTGAAGATGTTCGTTTCACAAAGTGGGTTAAGCTCTAATTGAGGCTACGTAACCTGATCCCAGATCAGCTGTAGAGCGGTAACAACAGCATATCTGCTTCCCTATCACAGTCTCACGAGCCTGCCATCAAAAGAGAGGAGGAGAAGGTCGGGTCAAAACTCCCACCACTAAAACCAAAAGAACACCGTAATCTGACGAAGCAACATTTCCTTTAAAAGGTGGCATCTTCCTCAAGAGTCTGGGTGGATGAGATTATACTTGAGGAAGAGAAGATGATGGGCAAAGGGATTTTGTTTATTATGTTAAATAAAAAGTTAAAGCGCTTCTGAGTACAGAGCCAAGGGAGGAGGAGGAGGAGGAGGGTGGACCCGATGCTCCTAGCTCAGGAGCTGACGAATCTCCTTGTGCATGTGACACAGGAAGTCCACATAAGAGGCCCCACCGTTGTTGCTCTTATCCTCCACCAGGAAGTGCTTGAAAATCAGCTCCAGCTTGTCTTCCTGTTTCACCACCATGAGCTGAAAGACAACAAGAAGTTAAATTCATTCATTCTTAGGTAAAAAAAAAAAAAAATGAATGCAAGTAAACTAATGGAGGAAAGAACATTAGTAGCAGTTGTAGGCCTACAACAAAGTGGCAAAATTACAAATATAAATTACATAAAGTTAAACAAAACCACAAAATAAATAAATAAATAAATAAATGTCAAAACAATTACCATTTTCCAGAACCCACCCATTAAAATAAATACATTAATTAAATCCCCAGCATGACTATGTGGTCCAGAAAGAGGTCGCGGACAGTGTGAAAGCAAGCTAGGTTCTTTTTCCATGCTTAGTTCCCTTTTTTGGTCTAAATATGGTTCTTTTAAGGAGGACTCCAGTGTAAAAACACCATATAATCATGAGTGACCCAGTAGTGAGAAATAAATCACAGATGAACATTAATCTGGACTGGAAAATCCTCCCTTTTTCCCCTTAGTCAAAGTCATGCATAATTCCTGGATTATCTTGCCTTCATATTCCTCATGCTCATCTCATTTTGCTAATAATTTTATTGTACTGAAGAAAAAATAAATAATAATCTCAACACAAATGATCTAAGCTTTCAGAAAAGTAAACAATCTTTTCAGCTGTCCAAATCACGAAAATCTGCAAAAGCATAATATCAAGCCCTGTGACGTATTTACCTTCATGTATCGTGAGCGCTGTGCCCTGACAGACTCGATAATCTCCCTCAGTCTCTTTGAAAAAGGATTATCCAAAGCCGGCAGAGAGGTCTAAACCAGCAAAACACACAATAAAAATGGCCAATGTTCACATAAATTTTTTAAAGACAAAATTTAACATGCAAAAATAGTTTAAGTATCTTGGGTAAGGTGTTAAAGTTTCATGTGCTTATAAGGTGGAGCTATAAAACTGCTTCTGTATGAGGTAAAAAAACCGAATGATTTGTGGACAATATGCATGCGTTTTATTTTATTTTAAATATAGCATTTATAAAGGGTCGTACCATGCCGGGGTCTATCTGGCTGAAGGCAGTTGTGCCAAAGATGTTCTGAAGCAGCTCCTGCTGGGCATTGACCCCCACCCAAAGGAAAATATTCAATCCGTTCTCTAAGAGGTACACTCCTCCCCTAGACAGTCTCTCCTCCGAGTCTCTCACTGCCACAGGCAGAGACATGCTCTCAACATCCAGCTGTTGCTGTAGAGAAACCGAGAACGTAACCATCACAGCTCAATTACAAAATCAAATGGGGTGATATTATTGTTTGTTTCTCACCAGTGGAAGCAGCCGAGGGTAGAAGAACACATGGCTTTCGGCCACATCCATAGCGCTGACCAGCTGTCTCAGGTAGGCCCGGTCATCCAGGGAGACGTCCGCCCCGGGCTGCAGAACGTCACTCTTCAACACACAGTTCAGATACACGGGCAGCAGCTTCATACATTCTGGTAAAATCAACTGTACACAGACAAATAGACAAGAAAATATCAATACAATGTTGGATGACAGAATTATTGAGATATATATGAGAGCAGTAAATAGATAGAATTTATTTTAATCGTGATTAATCGCATAGGCCTACTTATTGTGAAATTAAGCATACATCATTAATCTTGTTTAACTTGTTTATTTAGTCGTCATTTGCTATATCCAGCAAAGTAAACTATCTAGGGCTGCAACAACAAATTGGTAAAATCGATAATTATAGATAATGATACAACGAAAATAATCAACAACGAATTTGATTAACGATTAGTCGCGTCTACGCGCTGTGACCGGAAAACAATCAGCCAGTCATGTTGCTTTACAGTAGTCTATAACCCATTTCTAAGGACAAAACGCACATGGAAAATAGCGGAGTACACAGAGTGAGCTGCTGAAAGAAAGGTACATGATCAATTTATATAAGCAGTCCATATAGTTCATAAATTTATGCACACCAAAGCACCCATGAAAAAAAAGAAAATATTTTTCTGGGAGATGAGAAAAAAAAAGAAAAAAAAAACTAAACTATCCACCTTGACCTGACTCTATATACCTACTACAGGGATCCATTCAGAATTACTAAACACAGCAACATACACAAGACAGACAAAAACATTATCATGAATGTGTGTGAAAATGTACTGAATGTGGTGAAACGTGTCTGTGCATTGTGCATGAATACAATGTGCGATCAGTGCATCAAGAGCGCACATACACTGTTTGTTTGCACATCAATATAACGGACTCACGCATGCTTACTGTACCACTCCTGTACGTCACTGCAATCGTCTTTACCTTGATTACAATCTGCAGCTATCAAAACTTTACAAGCGAGGGCGCTAGTTTGCTTTATTCAGCCGAGAAACGTAGTTTGCATATCATCTGGCCATTCAGCTGTTTAATTTTTTGACGTTCTGTTAAGTCTGTATTTCACACAGTGTGTTAGGGCTCGCGCTCTTCAAAATATGACAGAGCTCGTGTTTTAGAGCTTAACAGACACTGGAATGGATTCATTGAAAATGGCCGCAAGTGAATCACTGTTCTCTCTGATAAGCCTGTTTTTTTTTTTTACATTAGCGCTGTTTTGGACTGATTGTGTGAATGAATTTGCTTACTGGATAATTGGGCCGAAAACTTTCCTGGAGTTTAGCAGCTAAAAATGTGCTTATGTGCTTCAGAAATGTATTTGCGTAAAATTATTTTAATGCCTTAAGGATTTTTAATTAATTGCATGTGTTAACGCTGACAGCCCTAATAAAAATAGGGTTTGAAATTAACATCGACCAAATGCGGGTGAAAATCCAACACATTGTTTTCTAATCCTCGTCATTCACATAGTTCTCCATTAAAATACAACGATTTAGGACAAATATATGTACGTACTAACTTCACCCTAGGAGATCTTGTATTGTACAAGATATTTATTGTATATACATCGCACTTTCTCTTTCCATTTGCACTGTTTTTTTAAATACCTTACTTCAAACTCATCGACGCCACTGTTCATTCTTGAAGTGAACTTTTGCCTGTATTGTGATTAGATTCAATGTTTTGGATTGCCGCATTGAACTTGAGAACGCGAGTACATAAAGACGCGACCGGTGTGCGATAAACCTGCCTGTGAGATGTCTGCGGTGTGGCGCTTCCCGTCTGCTGTGCCGCCAGAGCCCTAGGAGACAATTAAGAGACTACTTTTTCCAAACCGTTCTCATAAATGCCGCATGTCCAAGACTTTTGGTCAAAAAGCACCCTAGCGTATTTATTGCCACGTGCAGGTAATTATAAGAGAAGTCACAGAGAATTTTGTTTTTATTTTTATTTCCATTCTATTCTATTTGAACGTTATCCACAAAATATTGACTGTCGTAAAGCTGAAAACAATACAATGATTCAGAATCAGATTTAATAATAAATATATTTAAATCTAAGCTGTGACTTTGATGATCTGGTTTATTTCTGATATTTATGTTTTGGCTAGTAGATGTTCTGAATGGCTGGTAACAATTTAATAGCCAAATTGGCTGGTGAGTGAAAAAGTACATTTCAAACCCTGTGTGTGTGTATATATATATATATATTTATTCAGTATATAATATTTTAATTATATGTATACACACTACCATTCAAGTCAAAAGTTTGGGCTCGGTAAGATTTTTTTATGTTTTTGAAAGCATCACCGTGGCTTGAAATATTTGAAATATTACAATTTAAAATAACTTTTTTTATTTTAATATAGCCCATTTAAAAATGTGATCTATTCCTGTGATTTCAAAACTGAATTTTCAGCACCATTACTCCAGCCTTGTGTCACATGATCCTTCAGAAATCATTATAATATGCTGATTTGGTGCTCAAAAAAATGTCTTATTATCAATGTTGAAAACAGTTCTGCTGCTTAATATTTTTTTCAGGGTTCTTTGAATGAATAAAAAGTTCAAAAGAACAACATTTATTTAAAACAAAAAGCTTTACTGTCACTTTTGATCAATTTAATGCATCCTTGCTGAAAATAAATAAATATAAATATAAATACACATACATATATATATATATATATATATATATATATATATATATATATAACCGACCCCAAACTTTTGAATAGTAGTGACACTACTTCACATGTTCAAAGGTTTGGGGTCTATATAACAACGAATCCTGGAAAAACAGTTTACACAAAAAGAATTTAAGCATCACAGCTGTTTTTTTAATATTGATAATAATAATAAATGTTTCATAGCAACAAATCAGCATATTAGAATGATTTCTGAAGGATCATGTGACACTGAAGACTGGAGTAATGATGCTGAAAATTCAGCTTTCCATCACAGGAATAAATCACATTTTAAAATAGATTCAAACAGAAAAGTTATTTTAAAATGTAATATTTCGCAATATTAAATGTTTTTTACTGTATTTTTGATCCAAAACATGCAGCCTCTGTGAGCATAAGAGACTTTTTAAAAACAAAAATCTTACCAACCGCAAACTTTTGAATGGTAACTTGTTGTGTATATATAAAATCATTAGAAACAGTATTTGTCTTCATTTTAGCACTGTTTTTGTGGGTGGGTTTCTTTACTTACCTGTCCTGCTGAAGATGGACTGGCACAATTCTTGCGGTAACAGGCTAAGATCTGTGCACACTGATTCACCAGGCTATCACGTACATTCTTGGTAGGACTGCTGAGTACACTCCGATATGCTGCAAACACATACAAAATTAAAATTAAAAAAGATTAATTCAGATGATCCCAGAACAATAAAAAAAAAATAAACTGGACCTTTAAGACTCTTAAAAGAAAATGACCTATATTATGATGATTAACTAACATGTGAAAAGCGTAATAATGCCCCACGAAGCTGCTGAATATGTAGGTGTTGATGGTTATGACGATCAATCATGACAATTGATTCATGACTTTGCAGTGACGGTCTAGTTTTATTAAAATATGTGTGTTGACGGAGGAGGGAACTTTCCCTCTTAAAAACAAAACTAAAACCAAAACAAAACAAACAAAAATGTTAATCAAAAGAAAATAAATAAAATGAAAATAAAATATAGCAAAATAAAACAAAATCTTAAATGGGGTTGTTGGGAATCAAAAATTGATTCCAATTGATCCTTCGCAGGGAGCTTGATTGACAGGTGATCTGACCAATCATCCTTCGCCATCCGCCATATTGTCCGACAAAGCAGTCAGGAGAGTTAGTAGATTAACATGGGAGGATTTGAACTTGAAAAACGGAATGTACTACTGATGCCTTTCTGCGGTTAAAACAACATTCCTTCTTATGTTCATGTTTATTTGATGCTATAAATGAACTAGAAGGAAGAGATGATCAGATCACAAGCAGCTTTAACTGATGCTCTACAGCGATCTGTCACGACACATTAAAGAGCCACAAAACGGTATTTATTGTTTAAATTTCTTCTTTTTTTTAAATGACCAAATTTGAAAGACGAGACTTTGTTTAATATCAAAAGTAACCGAAAAGTAACCTGGTCTGTCCTGTCTGTCAGCGTGTTGTCAGTCCGCGATGTATTTTTCACTGCGTGAGAACATGGTGTGTGTGTGAGAGAGCAGCGTAGCTTGTCGGACATAGCGACAGTAACTAAGGGGGGCGGGTCTTTGCGAACGGTCAATTCTGGAATCAAATACTTAAGGTCAGGAATCAGATACTTAATTTCAATTCCTCTTATCGATTCTTTTGTGTGCATTTTAATGACTTTAAACCAAAGAAGACTTGCGCGCTGTTTTCTGTGCTAAGCACACAATCCAAAACACGCACAGAAAGCTGCCTCTCATACTGTAGTGCGTGATAATGAAACGAGTTCTCTTCCGCGTCTTTTTGCACTTGAATGGACAAATACACACAAAAATATGTAAAAAATATCCTCATAAACATTTAGTTATGTCATTAGTAAACAAACAGTTGACAAAGAAAATGTATGTGTAACAGTATAAATGGATCTGTGCAGCTCTTAAAGTGACAGCATTCCTGCAAAATTCACCCGCTGTTCTTAATAATTTTGTAACTACATTTGTAATGTATATGTAATTTATTTATAAAGTGCAGCGTTATTTTACATTTGATTTCGGTTTCTGTACCTGAATACCTGAAAATCTTAAAACACTTTTCAATCGTATCTTTGTTCAGTTGTATTTATTTGTGCATTGCTAATTTGTTTATTCATTCTTTTTTAATTACTGAGTGTTTACTTGTTTTTAATAATGCTTGAAATTTATATTAGTTAGGCTAGTTGTTTTTGCTTTGATTTTTTTAAATCCTTGTGTAAGTGTCCCTTAGCCTGTTGATTTTTATTTATGGTTTTCAGCTACAATTAAATGTTTTGCAATAAGACTTAGAATAAATGTAAATGAAATCCAAGTTTCTTTTTTTACCTTTTTGGAATTGAAAATAGGAATCGATGTGCAGAATCGGAATTGTTCAAATTAAAATGAAACGATATAACAGAGGTGGCCCATAGAATACTACTGCAGGAAGCAGTGAGAAGGTGTTGATCCAACCGGTTTGAGAGGATGTGTGTGGTTTCACTCACCATATTTGACGAAAAAGTTGATGATGGTGTCAGTCTCACAGTTCCTGTACAGGTCTGCCAGCTGAGAGCAGCAGTTCACGGCCATGTTATGGATCCGAAGCCGTCGCTGACCGTTGCAGCTGGTGTACAGAACAGCACACTGAAGGGAGAGCAAGAAAAAAAAAAAAGTACAGACAAAAAGGTCAGCACGGCTGAGGTGATTAAATGTTGAGCTGACTCAATTCAGTGTGGCTGACACTTCACATATGTGTGCGAGACTAGACACACACCTGCATTAAAGCTCCAGTTTCCTCGCTGAGCTTGTCGTCATGTCTGAACTCCACGGTAACTGTCTTGTCACAGTCTAGTCCTGCCAGCTCTACATCTGTGGTGTTGCTCATGTAGAAGGAACCAAAGAAGTCGGTTGCCCGGATACCTGCCACAGCACCGCACACAAGTTCAACTCAGCCTTTATGCCAGTATTTTAAATCAATGATAAAAAAAATGTAATAAATAAACAGGAAGTGGATGAAGGTCAAATGGCTTTATCATGTCTTCGAAAGTTGTGTACTAAATATTTATAATAATATGTAATTAAAAAAAAAAAAAAATCGGGACCAAAGAACAGTGATACAAACCAAATCATAAAATTACACATTTATAAATTTGGGCTTTTTGTGGGGCAATTAGAAATAAATCTGTCGTGGTTTGAAAGTGGCCCTCTTGGCTTTTGAAGTTGAGCACCTCTGTCATAATGAGAGGGAATTTACACCACCGTTCAAAAGTTCAAAATGCTGAAATGGTAATAAGAAATGTTTCTTGAGCACCAAATCAGCATATTAGAATGATTTCTGAATGATCATGTGACATTGAAGCTGCTGAAAACTCAGCTCTGACATCACATGAATAAATTACATGTTAAAATATATTAAAATGGAAAACAATTATTTTAAATGATAATATTTAAAAACTGTTTTCCTGTATTTCTGATATATGCTGCATTGAATTAGAAACTTTATTCTTAAACTTTTTTTTTCTTTTTTTTTAAATCATACCAACCCCAAACTTTTGGATGGTAGTGTATAAATATATTGCGGTAAGTAAATGGCAGGATGAAGAAAAATCAAACTATAACATTAAAAATCTGGTGTATAGATCTGTGTATTCACCTGTGCTGGTGCGGACCCTCATCACTGCATCAAAGCCCACCTGCTTCTGCACATCTCTCCGCAGGTCATTGAGGAAACGCTCCTGGTCAGACGAAGCCTGAAATAAACCATAGTGTGAATAATCATAATGCATGTTGTTTTTGGTTAAGGAGATTTCTTTGATCTGGTCATGTATGGTAATATAACTGGGTGGTATAGTTCTCTCTTACCTGGAAGTAGGTGTATTTGTAGATGGATCCGCCTGTTGAAGTGGGGACCACCCCTAACGTTGCTACATCAACATACTGGTTGGGAAAGATGAAAAGGTCCACACAGCAACCCTGCGCCACACACTCCTTGGCTAAGGTGTTGTAAAAACTAACTTGTGGCTGGAATAATGACTGCAAAAGAAATAGGAGGAACTTCAGGATGTGTCGAATGGAGAGGGTCTTCCTAAAAAAACGTCCTTATAAATACCACAATAAAAATACTACTCCTGTTACAATTAGGGATGGGCGATATGGGCTTAAAAATATGATATTACTGGTATTTATTGCGATAACGATATTAATCACGATATAAATATAGTACCATTCACCACTGTTTTTGGCTAAAGTGATAGCTGCATGCATTCTTGAGAGCCTCAGAAACACAAACATTGATCTAAAGTACAACATACCCATCATCAAATAGGCTCCTATAATATACCAATTACATAAAAGAATAAAAAAACAGTAAAAATCCAAACACCAGCCCTTGAAGAAATGGAAAAGTTGCAGTTTCTTCTGTAAACGTGCAGATAATGTTTAAACAGGCCTAGTTCAACTGTACTGAAAAACCTCACACAGTAATAATTCAAATCAATTACAAGTTTGAAATGTAAAAAACTAACAATAATACTGATAAAATAATAATACTATTTATAATAATATTTAAAAATTTTAATATTTACTATTTAAAATAATAATACTATGAGCGCTCTCAGTAAAGCGACGGCGAGTCGGGCGCCTCACACTAGCGTTTACTGTGCGTCAAATACACTGTGCATTCATTGGGATGAACTGAAACAGTGCGCTTTACAAATTGCTTGTCGGAGAGCGAAACTTCTAAGCACTCAGTCCGTGTTCGGCGAGTGAAATATATCTGTGTGTACCAGTTCCAGATTGTAGAGGTAGCTCCTCGTTCCTTCCGCCAGGGCAGTTGTTTTTGCTGCATGTGAGCTGCGATTGGGTCTCAAACAGAAATACGTCACCAACTAGGCTTTATCGCTATTATCGAGGGAAGACTAATTCTTATCGTCGGGAGAATTTTTACTGGTATAGCGCAAACGAAAATATATCGCCCATGCCTAGTTACAATGTTCCCATAGTTCTCAGTCTCTGTCGTGACAGAGATTAGAGATTAGAGTAGAGATTTGAGGAAACGGTCATGGTACCTTCTCTTTATCAGTGCCCACTAGTTTCTTATCCTCCCTGTTCTTCAGTTTGCCTGGAGCCTCAGCAATGGGAAGAGACGAGTGGAAAACAAAGAGCTTACCAGCACAGTCTGCAGCCTAGATGACAAAACAGAAATGTCATTATAACAGAATGTTTGCACTCAGGGTAGACACAAAATACTCAAGCCAAAAAACCCCAAAAATTCTTGCATGAATAACACTACACTTTTCTGAAATGCTCCATGTAACGTCTCGAAAAGGTGCTACAAGGCTGACATAGTTTTGAACCACAATGAGTTGCGGGAATCATTAACATTCATATGATGATGTACACTCACTGTAGACTATGAAACTTGTGCTGATGCAATAAGATCACATACCTTGAGTGCTTCCAGTCCGGCCTGAATAACAGGCCCAAACACAGTCTCAGTTTCCCGTGTGTCAGCAAACATCTCAGGAATCTGATCCAACAAACTGGGGGGCAACAAACATTTTCATAATCAATCCACTTCGACGGTCAAAATTCAGGTACAAAGCCTTCAATATTTCCGTTTCTTTTTTAAAGAAATTGTTCATTTTATTCATCAAGGATGCATTAAATTGATCTAAAGAGACAGTAATGACATTTATAATTGTACAAATTTTTTTTTTAAACTTTCTATTCTTCAATGAATCCTGAAAAAAAAATTATGCATAAAGATTTCCACAAAGATATTAAGCAGCACAACATTGATAATAAGAAATGTTTCTTGAGCACCAAATCAGCATATCAGAATCATGAGAGAATGACAGCCAGAGTAATGGCTGATAAAATTCAGCTTTGCAATCACAGGATCACAGAATCATCATTTTAAATTGCAGTAATACATTACATAATATTACTGTATGTTGATCTTACCAACCCCCAAATTTTGAATGGTAGTGTACAAAAACCGAAGCCTACCTCTCAATAACCATCCTGGACTCCGAGACATTGACCAGAAATCCATCCAGTAGGGGCACAAACATGTCAGCCACATCTGACACCACCATCATCTGTGGCTGGGCAAGGGAGGCCTTCACGTTATAGAAATGAAGCACTTTATTGTAGGTGACAAAGCCAACTCGAATGTTTGATTCCACATCAGGATTCTGTCTGCAGAAACAATAAATAGGCAATGTCAAAATTATACTATTGTACATGCAGAAACACCCTCTCAACAGATTTTTGTAGTTGTTTCTGATGGTTCAAACTTTGAACTCTCACCTGGGCAAGTAATCCAACAGTGTCTTCAGCTCCTGGCATACGATTCCCACCATGCCATTCTTCACAGCATTATAGGACACGTCAATCAGGAAGATGAAGGCTGGCGGTTGAGGAATCTTGTTGTTCTGTCAATAAATAATATTTAATTCAGCAATCTCACACATATCAGCACAGATTGAAGTGGCACGATTGGAACTTATACTGTACCTTACAGTAGTCTACAGTAGCCATAAACTCATAACTGCCCATTGAGAGCTCCGGTCGGTCGTAGCAGTCCACCCTCTTCCCTGTGTGATCCAGATGCTGGAAGTAATGGGGAGGCACTAGGAGAGTGAAAGGAGAACAAAAACAAAAACATTAGATGTTGATTAGGATGAATTCAACATGATAAACGTGTTCCTGGAACATGACTAACCCTCGGTGACACAGCTGCAGAAGCCACACTGGAAACGACGGCCACCTTCAATAAACTGCATGTATGGGCACATATAGGCCTTACAGCGATTACAGCGGATGGGACCAGTTTCTCCATGATCCACGAGATATGGTAGTGACTGCCAGTAAAAAGGAATGACATGCCATTACCCACAGGCCCTTTTGCAATCATTTTGCAAAAGGCAATAAACAACATTCATATGTGGCCTTTTACCTCATCTGGAGGCAGAGTGGCCAGGGGTTTAATGACAGCAGCCAGGGGCACCTGGGACTGTTTCGCCATGTCGGCATTGCAGGGCACGTTGTAGGCTGTACAACGGATGTAGCGTGGACTCGCATTCCCTTTAAAGAGATGAATATAATGCATATTTTATTCAAACCCGTAATATCGTGGAATAAAGCCTACTGTTTTACTTATGATAAAAAAAAATGTATGCAGTATAAAGAATTTAGCAAGTATATTAAAGCTAGTTTTCCATTCCAAAACTACACTAAATGTATCCAATTTCTATTCTTACCTTGATCTCTAGCTTGGAATTTGGTGGTAACAAGAGGTGGGGCTTGACCTCTGACCCCTGTAGTAAAAGGTTCACTTCCCTTGTTTGCTTTATCATCCTCGATAACCTGAATCTGAGAGAACAAACATCAGCCTATGAAAGAGTGGCACACCTTTATTCATGAACAAACACACAACCCAACCCAACCTTACACCTGATAAACCTCTATATGCCCATATAGAACTAATCCAAACAGGATCAGCAAGTTTAAAAGTTTAGTGCCACATCTGCTCATCTAAAACAGATTAAAGGAATATTCAGGGTTGAATAAAATAAGCTTAATAAACAGCACCTGATACATGCTGTCTCAATCTGTTTGGCTCTAATATTATTGAACAGTCCCATAGACTTCCAAAACAAGAGCATATAGTTCTAAAACTCAGAAACGAGTTAGCATTTAACTTTCGGTTCCATCATCCTAAAGTAAAAATGTTCTTGGTTAAATGCCTGAAATAAGGTCTGTGGTTATCAAGCCTACTCATTGTTTTTATTGGTAAATATTATCTTGATGAAAAAAAAAAATGTGCAAGAAACTGCATTATTAGTAGCTTATTTTCTGCAAAAATCAAAAAGCCAATGGAAAATCTTTTTGCCAAGGGAAATCCTTGACTTCCGGTAATGGTAATGTTAACTTCCGGGTTGGCCAACAAAATTACGTCAACCCTGCAGCTCTATTACTGCCCTCGTCATCCCATAGATGCCATTGACAGAGCTTGAGTAGCATCTTACCCAGAATATTCCTTTAAATGATGGGCCATAATGTTTATTACATTAGAGACAGCCTATTAAACCATAAATAAGAACATGCCAGTCATGCACACACGGTCACTATATAGCATGCGGGAGTGTTGATAGGAATGGTTTTGGGTGGGTACCAATGACTGCTCTAAACATTATAAAATACAAGTAAATTATCCCAAATCATTCAAAGAATTTATTGATTTAAATGGATAAAAAGACGAAAATTGTCATTATTTACTCTCTCTCATGTCGTTACAAACCTGTGTAACTTTCGTTCTTCTGTGGAAAACAAAAGAATACATTTAGAAGAAAGTTGGGAACCAAATCATTGACTTCCACAGTATGAACAAAAAAAGGTATAGAAGAAAGTAAGTCACCGTTCTGGAACAACATGAGGGTGAGTAAATGCTGACTACTCTCATTTTTGGGTGAACTATCGCTTTAAGTATTCATGTTATACATATGTGTCCATTTCAACAAGGAAGTTGGTCTGTTGCACAGAGCTATCATCTAAGCTCCATAATAAGAACAGAGAATAAAATATTCATCTAGATAGTCACTGGCATCCCTATGAGTAAGGAACAGAGAAATCGGGATACAGTATAACAACACAGAACAGCAGAGAGACACGAGGCACTTACTGGACTGGGGATTGCGTCTGGGTCTATTCTATGTCTTGTTTTCTGCACAGGCGGCATGTCACAGGCTTGCTTTACATTTTAACAATTTAGTCAGCAAATTATAAGAGAGGAGAGAGATAGAGAGAGAAGCCAAAACAAAAGAAAAAGAGAGAGAGAGCAGAGAAGATAAACAGAAGTGTAACCACAATTATGGTTCCTCTGTTTTTTTTCCAGGCCTAGAATTATTGATGATTAATCACACTGTTTAGCAGGCAGTATAAGAGACATGTGTGCAGTTATTGCGAGGTGGCACGTGCAGAATTTTCAAGCCTTAAAAATCTATGAATCTGGATGTTGTTGTTAATTATAGCCACCATAGTGCATGCACATCAGACACAGGAGACTCCAGAAGCCTTTCTTAACACAACCACATCACACATCTATATACATAGATATTCTTTATAACATACTGAGGGTATGACTGTGTGTATGTGAGTGAGGGTGTATCCAAGTGCATTAGTACTGAAAATGATTGATTAATATATATATATATATATATATGTATATATATACACTCACCTAAAGGATTATTAGGAACACCATACTAATACTGTGTTTGACCCCCTTTCGCCTTCAGAACTGCCTTAATTCTACGTGGCATTGATTCAACAAGATGCTGAAAGCATTCTTTAGAAATGTTGGCCCATATTGATAGGATCGCATCTTGCAGTTGATGGAGATTTGTGGGATGCACATCCAGGGCACGAAGCTCCCGTTCCACCACATCCCAAAGAAACTCTATTAGGATTGAGATCTGGTGACTGTGGGGGCCATTTTAGTACAGTGAACTCATTGTCATGTTCAGGAAATCAATTTGAAATGATTCGAGCTTTGTGACATGGTGCATTATCCTGCTGGAAGTAGCCATCAGAGGATGGGTACATGGTGGCCATAAAGGGATGGACATGGTCAGAAACAATGCTCAGGTAGGCCGTGGCATTTAAACGATGCCCAATTGCCACTAAGGGGCCTAAAGTGTGCCAAGAAAACATGCCCCACACCATTACACCACCACCACCAGCCTGCACAGTGGTAACAAGGCATGATGGATCCATGTTCTCATTCTGTTTACGCCAAATTCTGACTCTACCATCTGAATGTCTCAACAGAAATCGAGACTCATCAGACCAGGCAACATTTTTCCAGTCTTCAACTGTCCAATTTTGGTGAGCTCTTGCAAATTGTAGCCTCTTTTTTCTATTTGTAGTGGAGATGAGTGGTACCCGGTGAGGTCTTCTGCTGTTGTAGCCCATCCGCCTCAAGGTTGTGCGTGTTGTGGCTTCACAAATGCTTTGCTGCGTACCTCGGTTGTAACGAGTGGTTATTTCAGTCAAAGTTGCTCTTCTATCAGCTTGAATCAGTCGGCCCATTCTCCTCTGACCTCTAGCATCAACAAGGCATTTCCGCCCACAGGACTGCCGCATACTGGATGTTTTTCCCTTTTCACACCATTCTTTGTAAACCCTAGAAATGGTTGTGCGTGAAAATCCCAGTAACTGAGCAGATTATGAAATACTCAGACCAGCCCGTCTGGCACCAACAACCATGCCACGCTCAAAATTGCTTAAATCACCTTTCTTTCCCATTCTGACATTCAGTTTGGAGTTCAGGAGATTGTCTTGACCAGGACCACACCCCTAAATGCATTGAAGCAACTGCCATGTGATTGGTTGATTAGATAATTGCATTAATGAGAAATTGAACAGGTGTTCCTAATAATCCTTTAGGTGAGTGTATATATATATATATATATATATATATATATATATGTGTGTGTGTGTGTGTATGTGAACATAAAAACGGAAACAAACTAAATTAACAGGAACAAACAAATACAGAAATTAAATAAAGTTTAATCGTTCTGAACAGAAACGGTTATTTAAAGTTGCCATTAACGGTTTAATAATGTTATTTTATCGTATACATTTTAATTTGGCAGTCAACCAATCATGAATTCAAATAGTACAGTCTATGCAAGCCTATGCTATCATTGACACATCTGATCCAGCTAATCAAGTCCTTAAGGCTTATTTGAAAACTACAGATGTGTGTGTTAGAGCTGGTTGGAACTAAACTCTAAACTAAAGGACTGTGGCCCTCCAGGAGCTGATTTTGACACCCCTGGTGTAGAACCTAGGGAAGTTCATTTCGGGGTTTTTTCCTGTCCAGACAATTGATGCCCGTTAACCGATCATTAACCGTTTACCGACAAGATAATGTTAAATTAGAATTAATGGGTGTCTGTGACCAATTAAAAATATGAATTGGCTGTCACTAACGATTATCTTGGTAATTGAGTAAACGGTCGATTATTTTGATATAATAAAAATAGACTTAAGCACAGAACTAAGCCTTTAAAATGACTTAAAATATATATATAATAACAATGAGGCAATAATATTTGGCTCAAATAAAGTATCAAAAGCAAGTAATCATATTACATACATCACAAACAATATTAGGCCATGAGACGGGACCCCAAATTTGGGCTACCGGTACCATTTTGAGGGATTAAATTTCTTTTTGATTTTCATGAAGGTACACATCTCTAGTGTTGGAAAATGTGTGATAGCATCCGATCCATGGTAGCTTTCATTAGAAATCAACACTTAAATCATCCTACCTCAAGGTAAGGTGTTCAGTGACTACAAGAGAGAAAAATTTATCCTTTTATAATTTTAAAAATTTATTTTAAAAAATTATATTTTTTTTATTATACAAATTTATAAAAAATTTATACAATTTTTATAAAATTTTAAATTTATTTAAAGATAAATTCATTTATCCTTTTTCTTGACATATGTTTGAAAATCGTCCTCCGTAACCAAAAACTACCTTGAATCTAATGCTATCACACATTTTTCAAATACAGGGTCATATACCTACACAAAAATCACCATGCGATTTAATCCCTCAAAATGGTACCAATCAACCCTCTGTCTCACGGCCTATATGTATATAAAAGGAATAAAAAGACCTATACGCGAAATATATTCAACTTAAATAATTAACAGATTAACAGAACAAAGGAAAAAACTGTAGCGTTTCGGTTAATTTTTGTGATTTGCTCCACAAACAAGTTCACGGAAAGGAAACAGAGATGGCAGAAAGCGGCATCCTTATATTCTTTATTTTACAAAAGCACAAAGTTTTGTTTTAATTGTGAGGGTACGCAAATAAAAGTAGACCCTTTAGAGTTTCGAATAATGTCCCACTCTTATCTTAGGGCCCTTTCACACCTACCTTGTTTGTTCCAGATTTTCGGACTTTTCAGTTTGATCCGAATCAAAATTACAGGTGTGAAACCTCCCCCGGACCACGGTCCGGACCAAACAGACAAAATTTGGTCAGACGAAAAGAGGTAGTCTCGGTCCGGATCAAACTGAACAAAGGTTTGGTTCGTTTCTAGTGTGAAAGCATTTTCTGTATGGTTCGAACTTTCAGACCATTTACAGGAAGATCCGGTGGTTCTCCCAGGATTGCTTGCAGTCTTCTCCTCCTTTCCTGCCGGCGACGATAAAATGTTCGCACAACGAGGATGTTTATTTGGCGAATTTGAACTAGCCTCGAGTATAGTTGGTGCTGCAGGTAGTAATGCGGTAATAATAACACTATAGTGGCAACGATATGCATCTGTTCATAAATTCTTGTCAAAGTTACCCGCCGAATTGACAACACACTGACGTCAGACGCACTTCCGTTTACAAACCAATCAATGTCAAGTTGCAGCCCACATAGATCATGACGACAGGACGCACGTATGTAAAGTTCTTTAGTGCGCTCGCATAATTGCAATGTGAAACCAAAACATACCGGATGTATAAAATGTATCAAAACATGACCTTTGGTTCGGACCTTGGTGCGGACTTTCAGGTGTGAAAACGCCCTTAATGACCATAAATGATAGTATTTTAAGTTGCTTCCGCTGTCATAAGGAAAAAATTCCGGTGATCACGCAGGTGCCTCACGCGCACACACACACACACAACATATTCTAGCATAGAGTGACACGCGCCATAATCTGAAAACCACGCCCACCGGGGTGGAAAACGAACCAACCCTCTCCACTGGCTTTGTATTGCATGAGGCTGCCTCGTTGTCATTTCTTACAACAAAAAACACAACAATGCCTAAAAGCTGCTGTGTGACTGGGTGTAAAGCAAACAAGCTAAAAAACCCAAAACCAAATTTTTGTTGGATTTTTTTTTTTGCGTGAAGAAAACTAACCCTTTCTAATAAAACCATTTTTGGAACGTTAATGTTACAGAAGTAATGCATGAACAGAAAAGTTAAAATATCGTTTCTGCATGGAGTGAACTAATTTTGTTTAAAGCCCTAAAACACACTTGAGAAATTAACACAGTAGATGTGTGGGACAAGGTGTGGTGGACAGTGATTTTGAGGTATTTGTGTGTGTCAGATCTGAGCTGTTCATACCGGGCTTGGAATAGAATCAGGATCAAGCCTCTTCGGGGCGGCTGGTGCTGGGGCAGGTCCAGCGGGTGGCGCTCCATAATTTGGCTGCCCAGAATACGGTCCTGCATAGCCAGGCTGGGGACCTCTGACCTGCCCGAAAGCACCTGGTAGGGAAAAAATATCATTGGCAAATCAATTCACAAAAATCAAAGTCTTGTGAATTATTTAGGGTTGTTAAAATTTAGTTCACCCAAAAATAAAAATTTGTAATTGTTCCAAACCTGTATAGCTTCCTTAAATACACTGACATGTAACTGTCACATGATTATTCAAAAAATAGTTTTAAGCTAGCAACAATGATGCGCACCATTTTGTTGAGGGGGATATCCCTGCATTCCTGGCTGTGGTGGTGGCCCTGACAGGGCAGCATTGATAGGACTAGGTGGCATGCCAGGTTGTGAAGGGGGTACATGATTAGCCTGTGCCATTAGAGGCCCTTGTGATGCCATTGGAGGACCTTGCATTCCAGCAAGGGGAGGCCTCGGTGGAGCACCAACTTGTGGTGGAAACCCAGTAGTGTTTGGAGGTGGACCTGAGTGGTAAGGTGAGGGTTGGGAAACTGGTGGTTGGGGTTGCATGCCTCCTGGGAGCTGAGATGGAGTTGAGGTGGGTGGTGGCCCTCCAGGGAAATTGGAGAGTTGGGAGGTGGCAAGTGGAGGTCTTGGGAAAGAGGGCTGTGTTGGAGGAAGTGGGCCTCCATATGACTGGGTGGGACCTGGAGGCAGGGATGTGGAAAAGGGAGGCTGAGAGACAGGCGGAACTTGAGAGAAGGATTGTTGAGAAACAGGTGGTGGGGCTTGGGGCTGAGTGGGGCCAGTGGAGGAGAAAGGCGGGGCAGCATTTGGGAAAGGCTGCTGGGCAGGAGGTGGAGCTCCGTAGTAGGACCTAGGGGGAGCCTGAGCCATAGCTTCAGTAGGTGGAGGCTGTGTGGGAGCAGTGGAGGTGAGTGAGAAAGTGGGAGGAGCTGCAGGTGTGTAGGCAGAGGAGATAGGAGCCTGGGATACAGAGGGAGGGGCTAGAAAAAAAAAGAACAAATTGTTGATCACTGCAATGCTCTAAATCTTTTTATGATGTTACATTTTTCAAAAAAGGTTATTTACCATAGCCTGGGCCTGCAGGGGATGGTACAGTGGAGCCAACCTGCATGCTGGCCATCTGATTGGTCATCTGCTGCATGCTGACAGGTGGAGCTCCAAACTGCTGGTCGTACGGGGGCTGAGGACCAGAGAGATTCACCACAGCTGGAGTGTAAGGTTGAGACACTGGAAGCCTGAACGAGCAATTAAAGTAAGATCAAAGTAAGACAAGACAATGCAGAGAAACCATGAAAAATAACTCACTTTGCATTCATTAAGCATCGAAGGGAAATTTTTTATAACCCATTTTTTAATGTCAACTACAAAACTGAAGAGGTGTAACGCATAAGCCAAATAAAAATCGATAACAGGGAAAGAGTGAAGGAACATGGTTATGTGCTGAAATGACAGGTCACTGACCTCTGTGGTGGAGCACCCATCGGAGGTGGTCCATTTTGAGTTTCTCCTTGCCCAAACTGAGAATAGTTCTGGGCAGCTGAGACAGGTGGTGCCCCTGAAGTGGGGGGTCCTCTCATACCTTTAGGAGGAGAGACAATAAATAATTAAAAAGTTCAATGTTCGAGTGAAGGCCAGGACACACCAAGCCGACGGTCAGCCATCGGACAATGTCGAGCAGTTTTTGAGCGTCGGTCGGCTTAGTTTTTTTGGTGTGTTCCGCACCGTTGGCTCTAATCGGAAGCCGTCGAGTTTTTCTGGGCTGATTCAGCATGTTGAATCTGCGTCAGGCCGTCAGTGAGAGAGAGAACTCTGATTGGCTGTTCAGCTTAGCAAACGAGTCAGTGCACGTGAATAAAAGCAAAAGTGATCAAAGAGAGCAGAGAAGTCAAGTTGGTACAGACAGAAGGCTGTTCTATTTTAAATCATCTTACCCGAGCATTTGAATGCACGAATATTTTCAAAACAAGCCGACTGGAATGAAGAAAGTGATCAGCGTGATGGATATCCAAAATGGTAAGCAAACGCTGCTTTGTTTACGGTTTGTATATCTGCAGTCCTAGTTTCTGTTTCCCTTTTTGAATGACGAAAATAGACTATTGATACCTGCTGATATAGACAGACATTTACTTACACGCAGGCGCAGAACGCCCGTGCTAGTTGAGTCGCCTTTAGTCCTTTTGGTGTGTTCAAGCGCAGCTTTTTGGCCCAGACACAGACAACAGAGTCAACTTTTGTCGCTGCTAGTTCTTTGATGTCGGCTTGGTGTGTGTCCCAAGCTTAACACACTTTTGATTTCAAACTTTTATGATTATCTGAGCAACAAAAGGCATTTAATATAAGCAAATAATGCAGCCTATAATATAGACTTGTTTGTCTTTACACTTTAGACATTTTTTCTTTCTCTCTCACTCTTTCTCATGACAAAGAATTTTTTATTGCAAAGAATAAACATGCAAAAATGTGGGACCTAAACGAAACTGGAGGGGATGAGAAATTATTATAGGCCAAAAGCCCAAATGTATTTTGTTGCAGTTGATTACATCACCAGCCAAATGTGTGCAAACTAATTCTGTATAGACAAAGGGAATTTTTGCCTGGTTTTGGTACCAGTGTCAATTTTGTACTGTGTATACAAGCATTACAAATATACCAACGCAGTCAAATAACCCCCTTGGTTCTTGTAAGGGAAAGTAAGTTCACTCAATGAACATGTAAGGATGCTTAACATACTAATGTTCAATCCTAACATGTACTGAGACTATTGTAAAAAGAGAAAATTATTGAGAAAAAAAAAGTGATCTAAATATCATCAGGCAGGCAGAATCACTCTCTTTCCACAGCAGGCTTTTGACTGCATCCTGCTGTTTACATTGCCACAGGTGAAGCAGCGCCCAGCCATCCCGCACAATATAGTCAATTGCAAATTGCAGGGAATAGAGAAGAGGACAGGCTGCTAAGCAGAATTAAACCAGTTACCTAGGTCAAGAGGAGAGGAGGAGGACAGGTCAGAGACTAAGTTTGTTGCAAGAGTCTTAGTGGGAAAGCTTGCATAAGGAGAATATCCTGCAATACAAGAAAGAGAGAGAAGTAAAAAATGGGAATAAAATGTGAAAACAGGAGATGACAGGTAAAAAGAGGAGGCTGGGAGGGATAAATCTGGCTGTCACTTTCTTCTTCGTGCTCTGAACAAGCACAGCTTGAATATACACAAGAATACAGACCTTGCAGATTGACCTTAAAGTATTAGTTCACCTCAAAATAAAAATTTCCTGATAATTTATTCACCCCAATGCCATCCAAGATGTTCATGTCTTTCTTTCTTCAGTGGAAAAGAAATTAAGTTTTTTGAGGAAAACATTTCAGGAATTTTCTCCACACAATGGACTTCAACGTTAACCAAATTGTTGAAGTCCAAATCAATGCAGTTTCAAAGGGCTTTGCAGAGCTTCAAAGGGCTCTGCACGATCCCAGCTGGGGAATAGGGTCTTATTTAGCGAAACGATCTAGTCATTTTCTTTAAAAAATAAAAATGTATATCCTTTAACCACAATTGTTCGTCTTGTGCTGGTCTGCAACGCGCCAGGCATTACGTAATCACGTTGGAAAGGTCACGCTGGATGTAGACGGAAGTACCGCCCCATTGTTTTAAACATCCAGGATACGCACACGAAAAGACCATTTAAAACAATAAACTGACACAAACACATAAATATGTCATTCAACATACAATAAAATTTGAACGATCCTCCTCCTCCGCGCTTGTAAACAAAGGGGTGGTACTTCAGTCTACATCCAGCGTGACCTTTCCAACGTGATTACGTAATGCGTGGCGCGTCGCAGACCAGCACAAGACGAACAATTGTGGTTAAAAAGTATATACATTTTTATTTTTTTAAGAAAATGACCGATCGTTTCGCTAGATAAGACCCTATTCCTCAGCTGGGATCGTGCAGAGCCCTTTGAAACTGCATTGATTTGGACTTCGTTGAAGTCCATTGTGTGGAGAAAAATCCTTTCCTCAATGTTTTCCTCAAAAAACTTGGCATTGGGGTGAGTAAATTATCAGGACATTTTCATTTTGAGGTGAACTAATCCTTTAAAACCCTATTAAATGATAATAACCTGTCATAAACATTTTCTGAATCAGTCACAATCATATTGTACTTTCACCCCCTTACCTTGCGGTGGACCTTGTTGGTAGGCAGAACCCGGCCCGTTATAAGGTGCGTACTGAGCTGGATATCCCGATGGCACGTGGCCACCCCCATAGCCAGGCTGAGGGTAGCCCTGATACCCAGGCTGAGGCTGCCCATAAGGAGAGGCCATGTGAGGTTGCTGGTTGACATTCATTCTCAGTTCATCCCTAACTCTGAAGAGAGGGCAGAAAAAGGGGAAAAAGGATAAGGAGAAAGTGAGTGAGTAAATCTATATTTATGAGGTACTGCTGTGAGAAGTGCTTAAGAGGTCTTGTTAGTCGCTCTGATGCTTTCAGAGGTCTAAAGACATGTGCTGGTGGACTGCTGGCACAGCAAAACTCCCGACTAATCATTTAAGCTCAGACCAGTGCAGCAAATGTTGACATAAAAAGAGAAATTTGCCCGAAAAGCTCTTTCACTCTTCAAGCCAAAAAAGCTTTGGGATTTCTAAAAGCAAGCAACACAAGGAAGTTGATGAGCAAACAAATAACATGTGCATTTCACTTTAATTTGAAGTATCAGAATCAAAATGATTCATTTATGATGGCAAAACCCATTTCTGCATAGACTTTAACCCTGTTTAAAGTGAAATATGATTCAGTATTCAAGAGGAATTGTTGTTAATGGAAAATATAGGCCTACATCTCATCTGTTGTATTCTTTGGTCAAATAATAAATCAAGACCCTTAAAGTAAACATTAGCAACCCTTTTAACTTGCATAATGTGACATTTCTTAATGAAACAGTTAAAAAAAAAGAAATTACAACCGGATTTGAATTATCAAAGGGGAATTGATTGGATCATGTTGCAGATCAGAATAGAGCCAGATGTGAATGAAAGCTTGCAGTGGATCATGGAAGACTATGTTGAGGTCAAGTTCATCCTGAAGATGGTTTTGCCATCATTAATTTGGGAACACTTTACTTTAACACTGTTTATTAGTACGTATAAAGCACATATTAATGCCTCATTCTGCATGACCATATTCTACATCCCTTAATCCTACCCAATACCTAAACTTAACAACTACCTTATTAACTATTAATAAGCAATAATTAGGTGTTTGAGACAAAAGTCGTAGTTAATAGTGAGAATTGGAAGTGTGAACATTAATTTTATTAAATTAATGTTAACAGGCATGAAACTTTCACATTAACTATTGGCAAGAATTTAGAAAGGTACAAAAGTAGCCTAAAATATCCATATTTGGATATTAGTTAGCATTAACTAACAGCCCACATAGCCTAGTAAGTATTGCCAGCCAATTGAGCCAAATAAGAAAAAGAAATTCAGAACCGAACAAGTTATTTTGTTGTGATTCATGAAATTATGTATTATAATTAACAAATAAATAAAAGAAAATGCATTAATAAAGTAAAAAGGTTAAATTGATTTCATGTCAACTTTAAACTATGCCTGAAAAACCTTGATCCTTTTAAAACTCTGCATAGGCATAACACTATTTAAGAGGACTGATGATAGACAACAAAAGTAACCTATTTTCAAAAGAAAGCACACCCTAACAACATTCACAGAACACAGCAGATGTATGACGGAAATACTTTCACACCCATCCCAAACATCTGAGACTCGACAAACTCACGACAAACTGAAGTAACTTCTGAAGCTGATAACATAATAGTGTTTAATAGTGTCTCCCACATATCAATTTCACAAACATCAATGAAACACAAGCAGACTGTAGTCTACTCAAATGAAACCATTAGTGCCTGCACACTTGCTTTCTTTAATAGCAGACGTTACAATGAAATCAAAATGCATATGGAAAGTAGATTCAACAGCTATTATGAAATATCTAGATCTAAATATAGACTTCAAAGCATCTTCTATAAAAATACTGTTCCTCAGGTTTATAGCATGTAACAGCTGAGAAGCTTGAGCACAACGCAGCCTTGAATAATATGTTGAATAATTCAAGGCAATGGATACCGTAATAGTATACAGTATCCCATGTGTGAGGACTTCCAGAGATAAACACGCTTATTTTCCATCTATCTGTCTGAAATTAAATGACAGGCCTGCTGCATGACCTGAATATACTCATCGAAGTTGTGTACAAGATCACAACATGGGTGACAACGTTATGTAAAGGGAAACCAGCAGACGTGGAAATTCAAGTCTGAGACTCAAACTCGAGTAGCAAGTCTTTTGACCCAAGCAACTGGTTTCATGACCTAAGGCTTAAAGACACTGATGATCAAACAACCAAGCTGCCTCTAAAATTGCTTGTCCATCTGTGGAATGGATTTGACCAATAAGCATGGTAGAAAAGTGAGATCCTCTAAAATGTTGAAATGAAAATAGAGATACATACAGTTGTCAATAAAGGGGCGTGGTATACAGTAAAATAAAACATTTCTCAGTTACCCATTACTTTACTATGGGGAACACTAAGAGAAATGTCCTTTTTAATGGATTTTCACAAAAAAACTGTGAGAACCTTACTTGTTCAGTTTAAGTGAGCATAACTATCTTCTTGACAACTTAAGAAAAGAAAAGATGTATTTCACTCCACGTCAGAGACTCTAACGTGTCTGGAAACCAGTGTCGTGCTTTCACTTTCATTCACACAAATTTGGAAAATGTAAACAAAAGAGAGGGACATGAGCGTGTTACGCGAATAAAAAACAAAACAACTAAAATACAGTAATATCATGATATTAAGAGACTCCAAGTAGAAGAAATGTCAAACAACTTGAGAAACTAAATCATAACATAAAAGTGAAGTCAAACAGATGCATTACAGCACCAACTCATGTGCTATTAAAAGTAAATAACATACTATTAACTGGGCCATTAAGTTATATTACACGCGTTATGCTTTAATACATAACTCTATTTTTTAAATCACTATGTGGCGAATAAGGACATTAAATCCACTCACTCTCTCACCTCTTGCTAAGCTAATTTGAGATGTTTACCGTAGCCGGTTATTAAAACACAATCAGGAAATGACCCACTTGGTCTGCCAACACGGATCTTACCTCAATAAACCCTTATATCGTATGAATTACAGCTAAATGTGTCACTTGAATGTATTAAATATAGATAAAGAGCATAAATGACTCGACGCTGCGGCTCGCGCTGAATGTGCTAAGCTAAGCTAACAGTGACAGGGAAATAAATAACCAAATAAAATAACAAATATCTAGCGCCATCTGACAGCTCACCTCATAAACAGCTCGATGGGTTAAGGAACGATTCGTCAGGGCGCCGTTCCGGTTCTAAACGCCGGTAAACGCGACAAGGCTACCGTTCTTTCACGGAAAGAGCAGAGAGACAGACGTTTAATCCCTTCCTCACGCGCACCGGAAGAACTGAGGCTGTATGCCACGTCCACATCCGGTCATGATGAAGTGGTAGATTATGATGATTATGATGAAGGACATTTAACTTTTACGTTTTGGACAAATAAAAATGTGGCATTTAAGAAGTCTTTTTAGAGAATTATCAGTAACTTGGTTGCTAGCTGACCTAAAGGTGTGGCTCAGTATGAATATACACACAACTAGGCTAGGCTTAGTCAAAGTCCCTAAAGCTCTAACCCTAACCCATACTTTTATTTAGCACCGACATAACTAAAACTGAACAGTAAGGATATGTGGGATATTTGCATTACTGAGCAAACCTAACCATTTTATTAATGTAATAATTTCGAAGTAATAATAATTATTATTAATAATAATCAAACAAGTTATTTCTATGGGGCTTTTATTTTGAAGTACATAACTTCCGGTAGGCCGGGTTGCTGTTTTCTTCCACAGCTCAGAATTCAGTGTTGCTGTCATGGACTTACAGACATACGAGGCTTATGGAATTACCATTTTCTAAATTTTAGAAACACCACCCCTGTCTGGACTGATAGTGGCGGGGATGCGGCATCGACATGGGAAATCTTTTCGGAAAAAAGAAAGCAACTCGGGTGACCGAGCAGGACAGAGCTGTGCTGGTGTGTTAGACAGCTGCTAACTGGCTAATAAGTCTTATGAGAGAAGTATATATATATATACACTACCGTTCAAAAGTTTGGGGTCGGTACGATTTTAAATACTTTTAAAAGAATTCTCTTCTGCTAACCATGGCTGCGCTTATTTGATTAAAAATACTACAAAAATCAGTTATAGTATTAAATATTATTCCAGTGTAAATCAGCTGTTTTCTGTGTGAATATATAGTAAAGTGTAATTTATTCCTGTGATCAAAGCTGAATTTTCAGCATCACCAGTGTCAGTGTCTTCAGTGTCAAATGATCCTTCACAAATCAGTATAATATGAGGATTTGATGCTCAAGAAACATTTATTATTATTATCAATGTTGAAACAGTTGTTGGTCTGTCAGTTGTACAGTTTTTTTTGTTTTTTTTTTAGGATTCTTTGATGAATAGGAAGTTCAAAAGTAGGGCTGGGACGATTACCGCAATACCGCGGTCACGTGACTCCAACCGCGGGTCTGAGCTCGTCACCGTCATCACCGCAAAAAAAAACAAAAAAACAAAAAAAACATTGGCCTGCACATGTGTGCACGTTGTGTCTAATGATATGGATTCATTGATTCTAATGACATGGATTATTTCTAATGATAGTGTCAGTGTGTCTTACATGGATTCAAGGTTTTCTAAACAAAACTTATCAAAAGATGGAGCAAATCCCTTTCGCGAGTTGGGGAGCGCAATGTTCCATGACACATAGCATTACATTCGTATTAGAGATGCGCGGATGGGCTATTATTATTTCATCCGCAACGGAACCGCAGCACAAAACGCATCATCTGTCCGCCATCCATCCGCACCAACGTTTTTTGATCAATTTTCGTTTTTTGAATTTTTTTATCAGTTTTAAGATCTATGACCGATGCAAGGCGCTGCTGCCGCGAGGCTAGAAAGCTCTTGGCTGTTCTAGAAAGGAGACTGCGCATGCAGCAAAGATATCTAAAGGCTAAAGTCCCTAGTATAGCCTATTGGCTATGTTGTATCCTCAGAATATCAGCAGTGAACTCCGTCTCCGATGGGCGCACAAGTTTCGGTTCATTTATGAGACGAGCTCCAGTTCACGCGCAAGAGATCGCTTCCACATCGTCCTGATTATATGTCTGCTATATTTGTATAATTCCAGGCAATTAGTTAATGAAACAGTGATTAAAATTAAGATACAATTTATACAAAACGAAATTTAATTTAAAGAAAGGCTTTCTACAAAACAAAACTTAATAAAGTGGTCAAAATCATGTCCCATCTTATGATATCTTACTCATGGTGTTCACTTTTCATATAATCGACATAGATTAAATAAAAAATAACATTATATTATGTTAACATAAATATGGAATATCATTTTTGTAATTAAGACATGTTGGAAAAGCTGTTCATCTTTCATTTCGTTCAACATCATAATGTATTCTCCTGAAAATGATGAATTCAATGCGAATGTATCTGAGAATATTCTTAAATTAGGAAATCTATTCAGTGATTGGTTCATGCCAAATTACAGCTTAATGAAAATCGGACTCTTTCAAATTGTGCTCGTTTTTTTTTCGGATGTAGGTGAAAATATTTAACAAAGTCTGTCTAGAAAAAACGCCTTCTGGTGAGTGCGGGGGGTTGGGTGTTTAAAGCGGTTTACCGCTATACCGCGGGAATATCTTGCTTTTCAACCGCGGTTAGAAAAAATCCATACCGCCCCGCGGCCCCAGCCCTATTCAAAAGACTTTTGTAACATTATAAATGTCTTTACTGTCACTTTCGATCAAATTAATTATTCCTTGATAAATAAAAGTATTGATTTCTTTCCTCCAAAAAATAAAAATAAAATTCTCACTGACCCCAAACTTTTGAACGGTAGTGTATATATACATACAATATATATATATATATAAACATACAATATATATATTGTATGTTTATATATACACATACAATATATATATATATATATATATATATATATATATATATATATATATATATATATAAACACACAATATATGAAAGTGCAGTTTATGTTGTAGAAAACAGCTCTGCTATAGGATCATCACTTTTTCGCTTTCATTTAATATTTCTTTATTATTATTTGTGTGTGAGCAGCAACTCAAGCAGCAGAGAGATAAACTGAAGCAGTATCAGAAGAGGATCACTTTTCATGTAGAAAAAGAGCGACAACTGGCCAAACAGTTATTGAAAGATGGAAAGAAAGAGTGAGTGTGATCATGTCTCTCCTCGTGTTACTCGTAGAACTAGTATAGTCTAGTTTACTAAAACAAACTGAATCTTCCTTATAATATTTTGTGTTTTTTTGTTCAGGAAAGCACTCCTACTCCTCAAGAAGAAACGCTACCAGGATCAGTTACTGAACAAAACTGAAAATCAGATAAGCAACCTGGAGCGGATGGTAAATAAAACGGATCTTACCTTGAGAATGTTAGATATGACATGTTTTAACATGGTTGCATCTTTTTCTGTATTATTTTTGTATTATTATTATTTATCTGCCATTATTCATGCATATCACAATCAGATCTATTTTTGTTTTACAGGTACAAGATATTGAATTTGCACAAATAGAGATAAAAGTCATTGAAGGACTGAAAGTTGGCAATGATTGCCTGAAGAAAATGCATGAGGTATGTAATGAGAAATGAAATGTTATTATTGGTCGTTTTCAGTACAATGTACTGGTTAATTTAACTTGTACAGCCATATCTCTATTAATTTTTTTTTTTCTGATGCCAGATGCTGTCCATAGAGGACGTGGAGAAGATCATGGATGAAACACATGATGCCATTGAGTATCAGAAGGTACATTTTACTTTTCATAATCTAACTTGTAAGTTTAGTCTAAGCAGTTTCCGGCCACAGTAAAAGTCATAAGACCCTTTATTGGAATACATTTAGATATACAGTAGGGGCCAAAGAGAAAAAATGCTTCTCTTTTGCATGTTTTCATTACTAATTATATTGTTATAAGTAGAAAAATGAATTGAAAAATGAATACAATGTGTTTGGTATGCCCTAAAATCTGTTCAGCGCTCACATGGTCAATGTCACACATTTATTAATGTGTACATTTCATTTGTGACCTAATAATAATTTTTCTTCAGTTCTCATAAAAAACTTTTTACATTTAAATGTTTCTAAATCCTAACACTTCCAGATTTAGATGAAAAAGTCTCCCACTGTACACCTTTTTCTCTTCAGATTGTTATGTGCAACACAATGATCTTTCACTGATCGTTATTTGAATTTGAATTTATTGAAAGGATAGCCCCTTGAGATGTAACATCTCATTTTCGAGGGGCACATGCCAGAGAAATATTTCCACTGACATCAACTTTGTGTCAAAATGGGGAAAAAAGTCTAAAGATGAGCAGCCATAAAAGGCTATAATGATCTGTTATACTCTACACCACATGTGCTACATCCTCAAATCTAGAAGAACTGAGAGGCAGCTGGATCTCACTCGCAGACACGCTGGGTCTCTTTTGTGCTTGTTTCTATTTAAATCAACTGTGCACGATGTACAAGTGTTTTTTTTCCCTCATTCCTGGTTGTCTGTGTGTGTGCAGCAAATTGATGATATGCTGGCGGGATCTCTGACCCAGGAGGATGAGGAGGCTGTGCTAGCAGAGCTGGAGGCCATCACTCAGGTGTGTACATGAACACACTCTGACAGCCCTTGTCACTGATGTTGTGTCAGCTGCTGTTTTTTTTTCATCTACCTTATACATTTCCTGTTTGTGCTCAGGGAGATGCTGACCTTGAACTTCCTGAGGTGCCTGATGAAGAACTACCAGAGGTTCCAGAGCAAGAGCCAGGTCTGTGTTTTCTTCTCTTTTTCTGTACTATGCATAAAGTGCGCAGTATGCAAATGCTTAGAAAACATGTTTGTAATGTTTCAGTGCGGGAGAAGGAGAGGGCGAAAAAGAAACCAGAGCGAGAAATGGTGGCAGTGTAAATAAAGATCTGTCCATCTGTACATCCGTACCTCCATGTCTTCTCTCGAGCCATCCCACTGGAGACCCCTAGGGCTCATCCTAAACAAAACTCTGAGGAGTGATTAACAGTCCTCCTCCTCATACATGTTGAAGACCCTACATCAATGCCATTTTTTAAAATTGTATATACACAGCAGCATACTGTATGCCATTTAGTTTAGTAAGATGATCATTCTGAAGATCACTCTTAACAGTGCCTGGTCTTTCTAATCACCCTACAGTTTTGTCTGATCTTTCAATTATATATCAAAGGCATATCATGTCTAAGCTTGTCACTTTTTAATGCATGCATTACTTTTATTATAACAATCTCTGTTAAAAATGGTTCCCAAACTTTAGTACGCCATGTTTTGTCACAAAGAAAATAAACCTGAAGCGTTTCCATTATGAGCATAAACTTTTACAAAATTTTCACTGTGCTGTAAGATGTCATTAAAAACTAAACTATGACAAGCCTGGCTTAAGAAGTAGTTAAAACTGATTTATAGATTGATAAATAAACATCCTTGAGGGAAAATGCAGGTATACTACAACAGAAATGTAATTTTAAAGTCAAAACCACTTCTGTTCAGAGTCATTGCATTATGCTGTACCCACAGTGTTTTGTTTTTATGAAGTATACATGCATAAGATACAAGGACATGTTGTAGGCCTAGAAGCAAAAATAATCACATTGTCCTTTTTGTTTATGATTAACACACTTATTTATTTAAACTCAAATTTTCCCAAGTTAGCCCTCTTTTACTGTACTATGAATTTGCTGTTCATTAAGTACATTCTTCCTCGTTTCATTTTGTAAATATGCAACAATGGATTTTATGTAATAATTTTTCATCACTGCTGTGCCTGCACTCCCTGCAGGAAAAGGCATGTATATGTAGCAGCCACTAGGCAGCAGTATTATGCAAGGCATGTTTGCTACAAGGCTGTGCTACTGCAGGTAGTTATCATGCATTACCCCAAATGGTCTCAGATATATCACATCTTAATTATAGAAACAAAAGTACACAAATGAGATGTCTTTATTATATTTGCATATAAACTACCTTTCAAAATGTGGGCAATGTATGGTTAGAATTTTTTTTTTTTTTTACATGTTTTTAAAAGAAGTCTTATAAGTTCACCAAGACTGCATTTATTTGCTAAAAAATACAGTAAAAACAGTCACATGAAATAATATAACAATTTAAAATACCTGGTTTCTATTTTAATATATTTTAAAATAAGATTTGTTCCTGTGGCAAAGCTGAATTTTCAACAGCTATTACTCTTTTAATTATTTTTAAATCAATTTAATGCTTCCTTGCAGAATAAAACGTAATTTATTTTTTAAAAAGCCAAAAATGTTTGCATAGTAGTGTACACAGTATGTCTACATTATATATAACTAGACGCAGCATTGACATCAAATTGAGATGTTTGTTGAAAACTCAAGCATCCCTGATTTTTCTTCTGAGAATACAAAGACAATAAATCTCAAACTCAGCTCAGATTTGCCAAGATAAAGTCTGCAATCAAAAATCAAAGAACTGTTTTTTAACTAAATAATTTAGATTTACTGCAAATGCATTTCATGTTACAGCCTGTTCCAGTAGAGTGCAGATTTTCTTGAGCAAGCTTAAGTTAGACCATTGTTTGAAAGGTATTGACCTAAAACCAAGTACCTGTATTGCTTTGTTGGAAGTCCATTGTCTGGAACCAGGCAGTTGGAGCTGTGTGGGGCTGCTCTTATCTCGCCTGACACAAAGCATTATGGGAGTGGGCGGCTGCCCCACGAGTCTGAATGGCTCCACCAGAGCTCAATGTGAAGTAGTTTCATACTGTTACACTGTCAGACAACGGACTTTGATCAGTAAACATATGGGGGTGTGAATAATGTGCAGTAAAGACAGAAACTGGGTTTCCTAGAAACAGAAAAAGCTGATATGTATAATGAGTTATAGGACTCCTACACAATTTTAACTCCTTCCTTTTTTACTTTAAAGTCTATATTTGAATATGAAGCAGCTTCTAACTTTATTGTATCTTAATTAAATAACATTTGGCCTTTTCTCATTCCACATTTAAAATGTTCCCTTAATCAGAGCTGTTTTGAAGAGATGCTGGTTTTAGCTGTCTGTATTGATCTCTGTTTTGCTTTTTATTTACCCTTTACATTCAGTCTTGATAGGTCCAGTAGATAAGACTTCCACTGTGATGTGAAATCAATCGATGTGGCCTCTAGACAGAAGCATCTCTAATGTTATCCGCATTTCCCATGAACCTTCATGAGCTGTGTATATGCAACTAACTGAAAAAGAAACAAAAGAAAGGAAATTGTCCATTGTATCAGATTCAATTTATTGACCTTTGCAACCAAGAAGCGTCGCACACCAAATGCAGTTTACTCTCTCGCTTGACCTTTAAAACAGGGAAACACAGGAACTCAGTCTGGCTCTTCGGGATCTACCTTCCTGTGAAATTTAGTTCCAATTGTAAGCAACACAATCTAAGTAATCAAGGTCTTGGGGTTAATTAGAAAATTACATACAGGTGTGCAACAACACAGTTTGAACTACAATTTGAATGCTTTTCCATCAGAACAGCTGTAAAAGGTGTTGTCAGGGCCATTACCATCATAGTGTGTGGCCACGTTCACATGGAAATCATTTTTTTGATTAAGGTCCAAATCTTGTGGTTAATATTACTGTATAATCCTATTGGAATACTCATGAATGGATGCACACATCTTTTACTATAATACAGTGTTGGGGAAAGTTACTTTTATAAGTAATGCGTCACAATATTGCGTAAAAAAGTAATGCGTTACTTAGTTACTTTTTATGGAAAGTAATGTGTTATGTTACTTTTGCGTTATTTTTTCTCACCTGGGCTGGGCTTGCTTGCTTGCTTGTTATTTAATAACAAAAACACAAATGTTCTATTATTGGCTAATGCAAAGGCCCTTTTAAAGGTGAACTAAGTAACTTTTTTACCTTAACCGAACAGCTTTGGAGTCATTGTAATGTTTATATTACTGATTTCGTGTTGACTGGTGGTCGTCTCGTACCCCCCTGGTGCCTGTGAGCCGCAAAACCACCCTTGCAACTTTGGGCCGGCGAGCCGCCGGCCTCAGTGTTAGGAAGTATCGCGTGATATCAGGTCTCGCGAGGTAACGAATTGCTTTACGGCAAAAAACAGATCTGATAAAATTCTGATAAAATGAGCATCAAACAGAAATAACCCTTGGGCGCGCGCAGCTCTTAAAGGGGCCATACCTTATTTCCACTCGTTACTGCGTCCATCCTATTGAACAGGTACCGGTGTACAGGGGGAGGGGATCCGGCCGTGAGTGCGAGCCATCTCTATTGGCTCTAGTGCTATTCACAACAGTACAAGTACTCCACAGCGACTCTAGGGGTCGCTGTTTGACAAAAACGGAATTCCTACTTAGTGCTGCTTTAACAGCAAAAGTTAAATGAATAAGCCTCAGACTGAAAAAAGTGCAAATTCACTCCTGTAGGGTAGAGGGTGCATCTCAAACCTTTCAGCTGTTCGCCATTCTGGATTGCAGAAGAATATGATGCAGGAAATGAAACAAAAATTGTGATGTTTAACTAAAGACATTTTTGCTTATTATTATGGTTGAATTGGATCTTCGAAGGTTGGCAGCTAAAGACATTGCTTAAAGGGGATGTCTAATGCTATTTCATGCATTCTTACTCATTTACACTGTTAAAGAGTTGGATTCTCATGCTAAACATGGCCAAAGTTTCAAAAAAATTAGTTGGGCGTATGACGGAGTATTTCTGTGCTAAAAACACTCCTTCAGTATTCGTGTACGTTTCGGAGAGGTTTTTTTCGAGTATGGCCCTGTATGACATCATAAAGGACGGAATTCCTTATATGGGGACTTCTCCTGGAAGAGGAGCCAGAGCAATGCCAATCAACTTCGTTCGGGTTACGGAATCCGTCGGTAGCGCTGTCATTTTGTTTTTAGACCACGAAATCTTCAATTTAACCAATATGAAGGTAAAATGATGCCTAAAAGAATCGCGTGCGCAGGGTAAGATTTGTGAAAGTGTACTTAAGATTGCAAGCGTAAATTAAATTTGCGTGTGCAAGAGAAGATTTGTAAGCGTGTAAATCGCATATCAAGTGTGAGAAAAAAATATTTCCAGCATTTTACTGTTATTGGTAAGTGTAATACATGTATTGTGAAACTGCAGCTTCATGCTAAGGCAAAATAAATAGGATCTGTATTCTTCTGACTTCCATTTTTCCGCGCTTACACTTTTGGCATGGTTTTTGCGCACAAATGCGGCCAAAAGCATTGCAAGCCTGTGAACAGCTATTTGCAACTGAAAACAACAGAGTCAGGGACTGCAAAACAGATTGATCGCGTAAAATCAAACTTTGTGTAAATAAATAAACTGTTGCAAATGTCTAAATGACTTATTGTGTACATGCGGCAAAAAAGTTCCCGAAATTAGAAATAACCCGATTTGTACAGTTGCGTCTTTCTTTTACCTGTGCTTCCAATTTTGGCACGATTCTCTCACTGAATGAGTTTTGCAAGCGCGAAGAGGAGGGCGGGTCCACCTTCATCATGCAGCCAATCAGATGAGCTCTCGCTGACACTCGATTTACTCTTATCTGATTGGTTCAATAAACACGTCAGTCTTCAGAACGCATATTTATCTTCATTTGGCTCATTCTCCTTACTTTTAATGCAAACATACATGTTAAATAAATACATAAATCATGATTGTTTAATAACAATCATGTACTCAAGAAGATTAACATGAGATTGACAGAGACTGTGTGTGTTATGTCCCCTTTAATAAAGTAAGATTAAATACATAAAGTATATTTTGTGTTAACATATTTAATTATTGCATGTTTGCATAATCTGTGTTTTCATTCAATACTGAATCTGTATTTGTGCAAGTGAGATGCGTAACTGCATGCTGCTCATATTTAGTCTAGAACTACATAACTTGTTACTTGTAATGTGTTTCCCCCAACACTATGGCAGCAATACATGCTATACAAAGTTCAGAAAGGAGCTTGCAGACATAATAGTAGAACATTTCTTACACACACACACACAAAAAACTTTATTTACAGGCCAAATTTTTTTTTGTATAAGGCATTTTCTATTATTATGTGTGCAAGCTCCTTTCCTTGTTGAACGTTGATATATTTATTTATTTACGCTGACGTTTTACAACTTTTTGGCTGTTATTCTGGTTATTTTTGACAGCAAAAGAACAACCAATGAATTATTATTCATGTCCTTATTGATAACATAATACTACAATCAATTGCAAAATGTACACTATGATACTTTAAAAGTTTATAAAGAAAGAAAAATATAAAGAAAAATACCACCTTTCCCTTGGTCTACAAAATGTATTTTCTTTTAATAGCTTGATTTTTTTTTAACATATTATTATTTTAAAATTAATTTATGAATAAATGTTCATTGACAGTGGATATTTCGAACATGTTTACATGATCCAACATTAAAATTATTATA